ATTTGCGTCTTATGGTGTGAGTGCGCACACATACGGAGTCTTTTAATGTGTTGGTGTGTGTGTATGTTCACCGTACCGTAACTTTATAGTTATAGCACTCATATCCGGCAACGGTTGACCGGCCGAGACGACTCGAACAACCGATTTTACGTCTCTATCGGCGGCGATCGGTTAAAAAGAGATGGGAAGAAGGCGAACCCCGCGACGATTGTTTTTAATTACGGAACAATTGATTGTAGATACAGGTCGCTAACGTCGGGGGCCCCCAGTAATTAATGCCTAATTTATTAATTTATTCCGATATTGTTTTTTTTTTCTTTTTTTTTTTTAGTTTTGTGGCCAACCGGTGACCCAACACCGTGAAAATTAGCGATAACGGCCATAGATAACAAACTTAACTCTCGTTACTCTATCTCTTTTTTTCCGTCATTAAAAACAATAAAATTTCAATTTTAATCAATTCAATTTTGTTCGTGATTTTGAGTAAAAGTGTTTTATTTTGAATGAAATCGTGTTAGAATCGTTTAGAAATTACGTTTAGTGTCATGAACGTAAACGGCGGAGGTGAAAAGGGGGTTAAACGGAATAAGATAGAACGAGAGGGGTTGAATTGAAGAGAAGGAGAAGGAGAAGGCGTCGGGACGCTCCTCGTAGGTGATCTTAACACGTAACAAAGCGCCGAAACTGCTCCGGCCGCAGAATGGAGCGCCCGGAACCGAGCTGCTAGATTGTTATCGCTCCATTTTGGCGGCCAATCCAGTGGCGTACCAAAAAAAAACTTTTCTAACTCAAATTTACGTTATTATTATCATTTTTTTTGAAATCGTAACCCATTTAACGCAACAATTCGAGAGTTTTATGTATTTTTCGCGTTTTTGAGTCCAAGGCCTCCTCGCTCCATTGTCTATTCACGAGCTCTCGGGGTCCATTCAATTAGGATTTCTTCCCATATACTATACGAACACGTCAGGTTTTTATAGATTATTTTTCATAAAAAGGCCGTTTTTGAAATCGCCCGTTTGGCCTTGTGCACATTTTATCGCCCGCGCACTTTGAAACAAAACGAACGAACGTGGCGTTTTTTCTCACAGCGGTTCCGTAAGAACGCTAAAAACAATGCGGTCGTGCTCGTTTTTATTATTTTCGTCTTGGGCAATGCCGAAAGAGATGTACCGAATTAACAATTAGGCAAGGAACGTTTCGCAAAACTCTCGTTTTGCACCGTACACAATAAAATTTCCCTCATATTCGCAATTTTCGATTGTTTTCGAACGAATTAAAAAGGATTTAAACGGAATAAGATTGTTTATCTTAACGAATTAATGACGCCATTAAAAAGTCATCAACTAAACTTACTTTTAATGCGGATTTTCGAATTCTTCGTCGAAAATCCTTTAAAATGATACCAAACTCGATGGGGTTATCTCAAATAGTTTCTGAGATATACCGAAATAATTAAAAAAAAACAATCGGCGATCGAAAACTTTAAATCGCGGTTTCTGGGTGGGTTTTAACCCGAATATGGACATGTTTGGTGTCAAATTAATCGTTTTGTTGTGTAGAATCTCTTAAATTATGGTTTTATTAAAAACAAAATTTACGATTTCTTTCATCAAATAAATTTTTTTAATTTTTGTTGTGTTTTTTGAATTCGTTGTTAAAAATGCTTTAAAATGATACCAAACTCGATGGGGTTACCTTAATCGGTGGCTAAGAAACGCAAAAAATGTTAAAAAAACAAATGACGATCGAAAACTTTAAATCGCGATTTCTGGGTGGGTATTAACCCGAATATGGACATGTTTGGTATCAAATTAATCGATTTTGTGCGTAGAATCCAAAAAGATCTCTTAAATTATGATTTTATTAAAAATAACATCTACGATTCTTTTGTTTCAAGAAAAAATTGATCAAAAATTAATTCTTGATTAATATTTAATGAAACGATTAAAATTGCAACAAAAATTTCGATGCAATTAACTTTAGGGGTTGTTCCTAAAACCACCACTTATTTCAAATTATTTTTTTCTAATTGTTGTTGTAATTTTCGAATTTGTTATTAAAAACGCTTTAAAATGATACCAAACTCGATGGGGTTAACTTAAACGGTGGCTAAGAAACGCAAAAAATGTTCCAAAAACAAATGACGATCGCAAACTTTAAATCGCGATTTCTCGGTGGGTATTAACCCGAATATGGACATGTTTGGTATCAAATTAATCGATATTTTGCGTAGAATTCAAAAAGATGTCTTAAATTACGATTTTATTAAACCCAAAATTTACGATTCATTTGTTTTTAAAAAAAATTGATCAAAAATTAATTCTTGATTAATATTTAATGAAACGATTAAAATTGCAACAAAAATTTCGATGCAATTAACTTTAGGGGTTGTTCCTAAAACCACCACTTATTTCAAATTAATTTTTTCTAATTGTTGTTGTGATTTTCGAATTTGTTATTAAAAACGCTTTAAAATGATACCAAACTCGATGGGGTTAACTTAAACGGTGGCTAAGAAACGCAAAAAATGTTTCAAAAACAAATGACGATCGAAAACTTTAAATCGCGATTTCTCGGTGGGTATTAACCCGAATGTGGTCGTGTTTGGTATCAAATTAATCAATTTTTTGCGTAGAATTCAAAAAGATCTCTATAATCACGATTTCATTGAAAATAAAGTTTCCGATTCTTTTGTTTTTAAAAAAAAATTGATCAAAAATTACTTCTTGATTAATACTTAATGAAGCAATTAAAATTGCAACAAAAAATTAACTTAGGAGTTGTTCCTAAAACCACCACTTATTTCAAATTAATTTTTTCAAATTGTTGTTGTAATTTTCGAATTTGTTATTAAAAACGCTTTAAAATGATATCAAACTCGATGGGGTTAACTTAAACGGTGGCTAAGAAACGCAAAAAATGTTAAAAAAACAAATGACGATCGAAAACTTTAAATCGCGATTTCTCGGTGGGTATTAACCCGAATATGGACATGTTTGGTATCAAATTAATCGATTTTTTGTGTAGAATCCAAAAAGATCTCTAAAATTACGATTTTATTAAACCCAAAATTTACGATTCATTTGTTTTAAAAAAAAATTGATCAAAAACTAATTCTTGATTAATATTTAATGAAACGATTAAAATTGCAACAAAAATTTCGATGCAATTAACTTTAGGGGTTGTTCCTAAAACCACCATTTATTTCAAATTAATTTTTTCTACTTGTTGTTGTAATTTTCGAATTTGTTATTAAAAATGCTTTAAAATGATACCAAACTCGATGGGGTTAACTTAAACGGTGGCTAAGAAACGCAAAAAATGTTCCAAAAACAAATGACGATCGAAAACTTTAAATCACGATTTCTCGGTGGGTTTTAACCCGAATATGGTCGTGTTTTGTATCAAATTAATCGATTTTTTGCGTAGAATTCGAAAATATCGATGCATGGCGATAAATTAATAGATTAAACTTTGGGGTTGTTTCTAAAACTACCCTTAAACTTCGAGCATCTTAATTTATAGCAATAAAAGTTAATTTTGACGATTCCTATTAAGTTGGATTATCAAAGAAAGTTTTTTGAGATACAAAAAAACCACCCTTTCTTTAAAATTAATTTTTTAAAATTTTTGTTGTTATTTTTAAATTTGTTATTAAAAATGCTTTAAAATGATACCAAACTCGATGGGGTTAACTCAAACGGTGGCTAAGAAACGCAAAAAATGTTTCAAAAACAATTGACGATCGCAAAGTTTAAATCGCGATTTCTCGGTGGGGATTAACCCGAATATGGTCGTGTTTGGTATCAAATTAATCGATTTTTTGCGTAGATTTCGAAAAGATCTCTAAAATTATGATTTTTTTAGTTATTAAAATTTGTTGTACAAAAATTGATTTATTAATTAATTATAGTAAAAGAATTAATACTTTACGAGATACATCAAGTTGTTATTAAAACCACGTTTAAACTTCAAATTGGGAATAATCAAGTTAATTTATTAAATTAATTGTTTTAAATTAATTTTTTTAAATTCGTTATTAAAAATGCTTTAAAATGATACCAAACTCGACGGGGTTAACTCAAACGGGGGCTAAGAAACGCAAAAAATGTTTAAGAAACAATTGAAGATCGAAAACTTTAAATCGCGATTTCCGGGTGGGGAATAACCCGAATGTGGTGGTGTTTGGTATCAAATTAATCGATTTTTTGCGTAGAATCCGATTAAATTAACAATAAAATTTTAAATTTAATTCGAATTTTTTTACCTTTTTGCTTTGATTTGGGGAGAATCATCCCGCGCGTTTTCTTGTCCCAAGAGTAGCAGAGGCAAGCTTCGGTGGTGGTGGTGGTCGACGTCGTCGTCGTCGTCGTCGAAAAAGGGCTGGAGAGAGAGATAGAGGAGGGGGGAGGACGGCGGGCGGTGGCGGCGTCGGCAACATCGAAGCGCACTGACAACGGAGGCACGTTCGATTTTTAACGAAAATCGGCTGTATCTGCCTTTTCTGCCGTCGGTCGTCCGCGTCCGCATCTCCGAGAGTTTATTGGACGAGCGACCAAACAAAGACACCTTTATTGATAGGGGAGCGGTGCGAGCGAGAGGACCGTCGGTTAAGTGCCAGAATTGGCCACCAGTTGGCGTCACTCGTCAACGGCGGGGGCGTGGTTTCGTACGGCTTCGGACGACGACGAAAAGAGATGGATGTATACGGTCGCGTTCTGCATCTCTCCTTCGGCGGGTAGAGTACGAAATGCACGACACTATTCAGTTGTGGACGAATCGTCCTCACGTGAGCACCGATAGACAAAGAGTGTTAGCGAGCGGATCGGCGTTTTTTGTGTGTGCCGTTACGACAACTAAGCGCGTGACTCATTTTCGAAATACATCAACAAAAAAGTTTTTCAAATCAACACTTAATAACACAATCTAATTAAAAAAAATAAAGAACCGAGAAGTGTTTCAATTTCAAAGTGACTAAGTGTATAAAAAAAAAATTTTTTTTTATTTTTGAGTGATTAAAAAGGAATAATTAATGTTAAGAGTGAAAATGATTTAATAATAGTAATAAAAAAAATCGAGGGGGAAGAAAATTAACGCAAAAGAATAAGATGAAGTTGAGATCAAACATAAAAAAGAAAAATGTACTGTGGTGAAAAATTTAACGATGATCAACAGCATCAAAGATTTTTGTTGTTGTCGTCGGATCATTTCTGTTGGCACAAATATTGTTGTTGTTGTTGTGTGGTGCAGAAATTTCGACCACTAGATGCAACCATCAGCATCGGTTTCATCGCCCACTGAGATGGACTTGCAAGCAATGCAATCGATGAGCTGGTTGTTCAAAAAGGAAAATTTTTTCAACCTGGCCCAATTCTATCAACACGTAAGTCCCATTTTAAAACGTTTTTGTGTCTCCCCAACATCAAAAATAACCCGTTATTTCGAGTTATCTATTTTCGTGTTTTTTAAAATCCTAAAACATTTTAACAGTCGATTCCAGTAGATTAAGACATAAAAAACTCTTTGTAGTTACCCGTTTTAACGGGTCCCCCTAAATTCGGGATGTACACACCGAAATAAGAAAACGAAAACACCGGGAGTTAGTAGTAAATATCATTAGGATCGTAATAACGACTCCGTTTGTTTGGGTATTGTTGTTTTAACTGCCATTTGGAAAACGTTTGTTGTATAAACGACGTAGTCTAAATAAATTCCTTTGAAATTTTGCCGAAAATACAAAGAAAAAAAAATTTTTGAGATATCTCGAATCGTTCGGGAGATATTAACTTTTAAAGATTAAGGGTGGTTTTTTTAAAATAATCTAATTTAAAAAAAATTTTAACGCATTATTATTACGTTTAAAAAGAGATTAAAAGCGACGAAAAAATTATTGCGATATCTCGATTATTCCGCGAGATATGAAGTTTTAAACATTAGGGGTGGCTTTTTAAAAAAAATTTATTTTAGAAAAATTATTAGTTTTACGATTACCTTTAAAATCGCCAAAAAAAAAATTGAGATATCTCAATTCGTTCTAAAGATATATACCGAGTATTAATTAGGGGTGGTTTTTTAAAAATTAATATTTAAAAAAAAAATTTAATTTATTACGATTATGTTTAAAAAGACATTAAAATCGTCGAAAAAATTTTTGCGATATCTTAATTCGTTCGCGAGATACGAAGTTTTAAAGTTTAGGGGTGGTTTTTTAAAAAAAATTTATTTTATAAAAATTACTGCTTTATTACGGTTATATTTAGAGATTAATTAAAATCTACAAAAAAAACATTTTAAAAATATTAAGTATTAATTAGGGGTGGTTTTTTAAAAAAATTTTAATTCTTCCGATTACGTTTAAAAAAAAATTAAAAACGTCGAAAAAATCATTGCGAAATCTCGATTCGTTCTAAAGATATGAAATTTTAAAATTTAAGGGTGGCTTTTAGAAAAAAAATTATTTAAAAAAAATTGTTAATTTATTACTATTATATTTGAGGTTGGATTAAAATCGTCGAAAATAAGATTAACTTGAATCAATTTTTTGATGAAAACACTCATTATAGCAAAAATTTTTTTTAAACAAACACAAATCAATGATTAAATGAGTTTTTATGAATCTCCATTAAATTTCCTTTAATTTGATACCAAACTCGATGGGGTTATCTTAAAAAACAACGGAGATATCTTACTTTAAAGTTGTCCGATTTTCACTTGTTTTTAGAAACGTCAAAACTTCAAACTTAAATAACTCCGTTGTTTTTAAAGATAACTTGATCGAGTTTGGACTTAAATTAAAGGATTTTTCATGAATATTTTAATGATGATGTTAAAAAATTAATATTGCAATCGATTGTTTTTAGAAATGTCAAAATTATCTTGAGTTAACCTTAACCGTAATAAGTTTAAGTTAAATTTGATAAAAACACTCATTATAGTAAAAATTTTATTTTAACCTCAAAAATTAGTAGTACTAAATAAATAAAATGATCTAATTGAAAGAAAATAATCAATTTTTAAGAATCTCCATTAAATTTCCTTTAATTTGATACCAAACTCGATGGGGTTATCTTAAAAAACAACGGAGATATCTTACTTTAAAGTTGTTGAAACGTCAAAACTTTAAACTTGAATAACTCCGTTGTTTTTAAAGATAACTTGATCGAGTTTGGACTTAAATTAAAGGATTTTTCGTGAATATTTTAATGATGATATTAAAAAATTGAAATTGCATTGTTTTAGAACGTCGATTGTTTTTAGAAATGTCAAAATTATTTTAAATTTTAACTTTAATCCGAATACACAGTATATTTGAGGTTGGGTTAAAAATTATTAAGATATCTCGATTAATTCGCGAGATATTAAGATTATTAAGTGTTAAAGTTAAGGGGTGGTTTTTCTAAAAGATTTGATTTCAATTTTTTTTTGATTTATAACGATTACGTTTAATGAGGGATTAAAATCGTCGAAAAAATTATTAAAAAATCTCGATTCGTTCCCGAGATATTTAATGTTAAAGTTAAGGGGTGGTTTTTTTAAAAATCTTGTCTCAAAATTTAATATGGTCGTGTGGGTACTCAAATAACTCGTTTTTTCGCGTACTTTTCACCTAAAAAGAAATAACTTTAGAAAACTTTAAAGTTCTTTCAAAATCTTAATTATATATAGAAATAGTATAATGACTCGTTTAGAAGTTTAACAACTTTAACCCTTACCCCCTTCTCTATCGTTTTAGTCTAGTGTTGTAGTCTGGTTTCCCCCCGCGCGTATGTAGTTCAAGGTTCCTCGAGCTCAACCACCCCCACCCCTATTTTACCGCCGATTCTCTTAACTCTGCGTTAATTTTAACTTTGCAATTTTAATTTTTTTATCTACTTTGATGCGAATTGTAATTTGTGTTACATCGGAATCAAACGATCCTTGAAAAGCACCCCTCAAACCCACCCCCACCCCCTCTCTTCGACCATTCCGTATTCTCCCACGACCATTAATTAAAATTTGACTAATTAATAATTGGGCTGGTGGTTATTTCGACGGAGATGTTTCATCTCTCGCTTTCTCATCCCCCCACATATATATCTATATATAATATATATATATAAAATGATTTTATGGATATATATATATATATAAAAATTTTTTGCGTAATTTTCTCCTAAAATTTGAATCGGGCGAGAACTTCACCCCTTCGAGGGTGAAGCGCGACTGCGATCGGGATCCAAGCGGCCCGTGGCCGCATTAGTGGAGGGGGCAAAAGCATAGACGGCGGCGGCGACTGTATGAAAATCGCATAGGGGGGTGTAAGATAAAGTAGAAGGGGTTGCCGGGAAAAGATGGGACCTGGGCAATCAATAATATTGTACATGTATATATCTCTCTATATATATATATATATATATATACGCGCGAGATAAAATATCTCTCTCTTCTACGGGGCCTTTCCTTTTCCTTCTTCGCTTACCCCTTTTCTCTTTCCCCGCGTACCGAAATAGGTGGCGGGGGTGGTTAAAGGGGTTTTTCGGGGGGAGGGGGTGGAAGCGCGTCGCATCTTGCATCTCAATCAAACCGTCTCGCCTCCACATATGTAACAAAACGTGAATTCGTAAAAGTGACGCTGAAGGGAGAACCCCCCGCCACCCCCTCATCCCTTAACGATGGATAGGGGGCGAAAAGAGGGATTTTGAGCATCTCTCTCTCCCGGTACTAATGGTGAATTATAGATTTTAATTTACTTTCTATTTACGACACACCAAAAATATGTATGTATATGTAATTTAAAGTTGTTAAATAATTAAAATGAGCTATTTTAAAGAAAATGATCAATTTTTAAGAATCCTCATTAAATTTCCTTTAATTTGATACCAAACTCGATGGGGTTATCTTAAAAAACAACGGAGATATCTTACTTTAAAGTTGTCCGATTTTCACTTGTTTTTAGAAACGTCAAAATTTCAAACTTAAATAACTCCGTTGTGGGAGAGTCGATCGGAATTTACCCTTACCTTCTCAAAAACAACCCCATCGTGATCGAACCCACGTTTCAACCCCGACCTTCGCGACACACTTTTTCTTTGGCCCAGTTTTTCCAACCCTAACTTCTTCGCGTCGGATTCTAACCGCCCCTTTTGGCGAAAAAAATTTACTTTCCCCAACCACTTGTTGTGGTTGTAACGTTAGAATATTACAAAACTTAAATTGGGTTAAATAAATCGAGTTATCGTTAATCACCAATCCCCCCCCTCACTCTCACTCCTAGTATAGAATCGAAATTGAATTAAAAAAGATAAAAACTGTTGAACTAACGAATCCTTCTTCTATTTTTCCTCCTCGCATTTTGCTCTTTGTTAGTTAATTGAAAGGTCTCTTCCTCTCATCCATCCTTATCGAGCGTAATATCCCATATCCTTTCAATCAATTGTGTCCCTTTACTACTTGCTATATAATCGCCGAATCAACGAATAAAAACCAATTGATCGAGATTGACTGCAACGCGGAGCTCGCGCGCCCCCCTTTTTTTTTCTAAATACGTAGCGCGGGACAAAGACGGAGCTGATTAGAAAATTATGACTCCGGTACACGTCACGTCCGGTTGTTGACCAATTGAGTTACAAAATTGTTGCATATACGATCGACACCAAAACAAAAGATTTTTTTATACGGCATTAAGAACCATCGATTCGAATTAAAAAACCGGAAGTCGATAACTCAATCCGATTCCGAGATATTGCGGTTTAATCGGTGACCTTGAAAGTTAAATCAACTTTGACCTTGAAATTAGAATTAAATCGAAATTTCCGTTAATTTGAGTCCAAACTCGACGGGGTTATCTCGATAAACAACCGAGATACAACACTTTAAAAATGATCGATTTTCAATTGTTTTTTTAGAAACGTCAAAACTTTAAAACGCAATAACTCGGTTGTTTTTAACGATAATTCGGTCGTGTTTGTACTTAAATCGAAGGATTTTTTTGTGGAATTTCTAAAAAAGCGTTGTTTGCAAAAAAAAATTATTTTTGTATTAGTAAGGTTATGTTTATGTGGGTTGATCTTGAAATAAATAATATTATTTTGTTGAGGTCGTTTATTTTGAATATTCATTAAAGAAATTAATTAATTGAAAAATTTAAATTGTTTAATTTTAATTTAATGAAACGGATTTTGAAAAAAAATAAAATATTTTAATATTTTTGAAATCTACGTTAAATTTCGGTTAATTTGATACCAAACTCGATGGGGTTATCTTAAAAAACAACCGAGATACACCACTTTAAACATAGCCGATTTTCAATTGTTTCTTGAAACGTCAAATCTTTAAATTGCAATAACTCCGTTGTTTTTAAAGATAACTTGATCGAGTTTGGACTTAAATTAAAGGATTTTTTAT